AACACAATGAGTAAGAAAAAGCCAGATAAACTATAAAACTCCTGTTTTGTTTTTTTTTATAACCAGTAAGGGGATCGTAACCCTTGGCTTGGTGTCATCCCTACTGCACTCAGCCACTGAGCGCACCAGCCATCCCTATGTAGGATCCGAACCCGCGGCCTTGGTGCTCCCAACGCCGCAGTCAGATGAGTGAGACACGGGGTCGGCCCAAAACTCCTGTTTTTAAAGGCATAACAGAGTCGTGGAAACAACTATTAGATGACATTGAATTTCATAGAGGTAGACTTCTAGGGCAGGGCGTTTGCTAAATTTTTAGTAGGGACAGATGATCACACTTGGCCCACGCAGGAGACGGAGAAAACAGGGAGGTATTGGTTGGTCACTCACGGGTGGTGCTAGCGTGAGAGATCACACAACTCGAGAAGCACCTACTGATGTCTGGGGGGTCCCAGTAGTCAGTCTCAACCCACCCCATCCTCCCATCTTTCCTGTGGCGGGTTCTTGACCCTGCCACAGGAAAGAATTCAAGAGTGGAGTCACAGGACAAAGTGAGAACAGCTTAAATGTAACAAAGAAGAGTTACAGATCTGAGGGGTGGGGGGGAGTCGCATAGCTCCAGAGACTGGGCAGGGCTCACACCAAGTTTAACACAAAAGCAAGCAATACACAAGTTGCAGTTCAGTACTGAGTGCAGGCTGGCTCAAGAGATGCAGCAGCTGCGCCCTGAAGGTAAGTTTGATACAAAGAAAAACAAATATGCACTCCACAGGCAGAGTGCAGGCTCCCTCCCGGACAGTGAGCACCAGCCCTGCCTTCTGCTGTCATCTGGCTTTTATAGTTTCACTGCCTAATGAATATTCAATAAAAAAGGTTCCCAGTTGTGTGACATAGTCTTCCACACGCTCAGCTTGTCTCTTCTTGGAGGATGTTCATGGGTCAAATCCTATCACAGGCACCAGACATATCTGAGAATATTCTGTGCTCTCTAGCTCCTGTAGTGGAAGGTCATTCAGCTACCAGGGTTACATAACCCCTCTCCACTGAGCATGCCCAGCCACTGGATTTGCATTAGCCAGCCCTTTGTGGTCTCATTTCTCCCATGTTTGTGCTGAAAATAGGTGTAACTGGCAACAGTAAATCTCCTCTAGGGGAGGGCAGAAAGGAGGGACCTGAAACCTCAAGGAGTGGCTGGAAACCCAGATGCATGTCCAGAAACCTGGAGAGGGCCAGTACCTAACCAGAGCGTACTGCCCCGCCTAATGGCATAAAACAAACCCAAACCTGTTGCTTTGCCTCCCATATATTTGTNTGCCATGACTTTAGCTTCTCATTAGGATATAGATGTTGCAACAGCCATGACTTTAGCTTCTCATTAGGATATAGATGTTGCAACAGCCATGACTTTAGCTTCTCATTAGGATATAGATGTTGCAAATGTGCCATGACTTTAGCTTCTCATTAGGATATAGATGTTGCAACAGCCCAACACGATGAGTAAGAAAAAGCCAGATAAACTATAAAACTCCTGTTTTTAAAGGCATAACAGACTTGTGTAAACAATAATTAGATGACATTGAATTTTAGAGAGGGAGACTTCTAGGGCAGGGTGTTTGCTAAATTTTTAGTAGGGACAGATGATCACACTTGGCCCACGCAGGACACGGAGAAAACAGGGAGGTATTGGTTGGTCTCTCACGGGTGGTGCTGGCGTGAGAGATCACACAACTCGACTGATGTCTGGGGGTTCCCAGTAGTCAGTCTCAACCCACCCCATCCTCCCATCTTTCCTGTGGCGGGTTCTTGACTCTGCCACAGGAAAGAATTCAAGAGCGGAGTCACAGGACAAAGTGAGAACAGCTTAAATGTAACAAAGAAGAGTTACAGATCTGAGGGGTGGGGGGAGTCACATAGCTCCACAGACTGAGCAGAGCTCACACCAAGTTTAACCCAAAGCAAGCAATACACAAGTTACAGTTCAGTACTGAGTTCAGGCTGGCTCAAGAGAAGGAGCAGCTGCGCCCTGAAGGTAAGTTTGATACAAAGAGAAACAAATATGCACTCCACAGGCAGAGTGCAGCCTCCCTCCCGGACAGTGAGCACCAGCCCTGCCTTCTGCTGGGATCTGGCTGTTATAGTTTCACTGCCTAATGAATATTCAATAAAAAAGGTTCCCAGTCGTATGACATAGTCTTCCACATGCTCAGCTGGTCTCTTCTTGGAGCATGTTCATGGGTCAAATCCTATCACAGGCACCAGACATATCTGAGAATATTCTGTGCTCTCTAGCTCCTGTAGTGGAAGGTCATTCAGCTACCAGGGTTACATAACCCCTCTCCACTGAGCATGCCCAGCCACTGGATTTGCATGAGCCAGCCCTTTGTGGTCTCATTTCCCCCATGTTGGTGCTGAAAATAGGTCTAACTGGCAACAGTAAATTTGCTCTAGGGGAGGGCATAAAGGAGGGACCTGAAACCTCAAGGAGTGGCTGGAAACCCAGACGCATGTCCAGAAACCTGGAGAGGGCCTGTGGCTAACCAGAGAGTACTGCCCCGCCTAACGGCATAAAACAAACCCAAACCTGTTGCTTTGCCTCCCACGGATCTGTCACCCCTATCCCCCTGGATGACAGAGCCGCCAAAGATTACTCAAAGCCCATCTCTTCTGAGCAGTGAGAAGCCTCAAAAAGGGGTTCATCTCCCATCGCCCTCAACAGCGAGGCATTGCTTCCATTTGGGAAATTAACCGCGAATTGTGTTCTCTTCCTGCATTTATTCTCCAGACCAGCAAGTTACAGGAAGAGACATTGGTGGGGTTTTGCTAAGCACGGTTTAATACGTTTTGACAATAGAAGCTGGTAACATGAAATGAAGTTGATCCACTAACAAAAGCTTGATCTTAGCAAACATTCCTTCTCCCTCCAGCCTCTTTTCAGTGACTTTACTATCAATTAGTAACCTGTCTGTCTTTGACTTTACTATCAATTAGTAACCTGCCTGTCTTTGAACCGGCAGCGTTGCTGTGTTACGATTCTTATCTTATATCAGAGACTGTATACCATGG